TAAAAAAAGCGTTATACCCATAAACACTTTAGAAGCCAACGAAATAACGAATGTTTGTTACAGATTCTTTCGTGTGTGTGCAGCTGATATCTAACAGATAAACAATGGTAATTACTTTCTGAAAGTATTGATGAACAACTACCCCTACCACTGAAAAATATCTTCTAAACCTGTAATTCAGCATATGTAGTACAGGTTATAAAAACGCATCACCTTCCTCATCGTCTTCGTTTGCCGCACTATGTGCTTCATCAGACGCTGATTTTCGTCCCAACTCTGATTCAGCTATCGGAGGTCCGGCCGGATGAACGCCATATGTTGCTGGTGAGCCTTCATTCTGTGAAACTCGATTTGCTGATTGTTGTCCACCACCAAATCGACGAGATTTTTTAACTTTTTTAAGCATTTTTGCCTGTAATAACTTATTTAGATTAAATGTCGCATTACCTATTAAGCAGAACAAACTGGTTAATATCTAGACTGAAGCACGGGTAAGATTAGTAGTTTCGACAGCACTAAAAAAATTTATTTGATAAACAAGAAGAAAACAGTTTAGTCTAAATCCAGTTTACAGAGCGAAATAGGTGATTACCTTAAGAGCGGACTTAAGAATAGTAATAGTTCCAGGCGGCTGAATATGCGGTTCACCATCAACTTGGACCGGCCACTCCTCATGAGTAGTTATCCTTATCTTAAATACACACTTTTCATAATTGTTGCAACCACTGACAAAAAATGTTAAAAATTTTCTTTTGCCAACCTTTTCCAATTTATCTGTTCTTTGTCTGTCACAAAGTAAAAACAAAAAAACAAAGAAAGCCACTTACACTTCCACCTTGTGCAATACGAATTCCTGCTGAAAGTTTGGACTGGATTAAACCTAGTCGAGAAACATCCGAAATGCCAACTACCTACAATAGCGATAAAGTATTAAAGTTCAAAAACACATCTTAAGACATAAAAAGATATAAACTTCGTTCGGAAAAACTGGTAACTGATTCTAGAAAAAAATTCCGCAAAGT